TCACCTCTTACACAAAGGTTGAGCACATCTAACTGACAGTAGAAGATGTGTCACATTAGCATTTAATATTAAAACAAGGATTGAATGAGTTGTAAACAGAGCAATTATTAACTGAACATGAAAAAATAGAAAAGCAATGTATATTTGAAGAAAAATAATTAACGAATGATTTTAAAATTTCCCTTGCTCTTGTAATTCTGAATTTCTCTGTTGTGCATGTTCGATATATTTCGCTCTTGAAAATTCGCTGAAAAAACATTCTTTGAAGTAATTTGATCTCTGTGAATCAAAACGCCTCAAAATACCCATTCTTCAAAATATCCATTTTCTGTTTTAAAAATGTGTCGGGCAACGTGATTTTCCGTCATTCTATTTTTCGGTATGAAGGACCTACAAAACATGGACAAATTTAGCGTCTGGATTAATCCACTTTTTTGATACCAGGGTTCTGTAATACGAGTTTTTCTGCCGAAAATTCGCCGTTTTTTCGCGCAGCATTACATAACTTTCTACTGCGTAAGCGGTAGTATAATGACCTCTAAGTGGAGTGCGTGGCCGTAATTTACCTATACCTCTGTGCTTACGAACCCTCACAACGATTCGTGCAGCCTCTCCGTCTCCACGAGCTGTTCCCACACACGCAGTCGAGTGTCGCCCCTCCCAATTAGAGCGTTGAAGAGCAGCGGCAGAACGCGGTGTCGAGTTTCGCCCGGGGACACGCCCCCGCGGGGACGAGGTTGAGGGCGAGGGCGGAGGGCGTTGAGCAGGGGAGTCGCTGGAGGAGGGTGGCGGCCGTAGGCGCAGACTAGAGTCTACGCGCGCAGACGCCATGTGCGCAGCGGTCGTGACCCCGGCGCCACGCTGGCGCTAAGCGTGCAACGGATGACTTCCGCTACCTGCACGTGCTCGGTGGGGTCTAGCGGACTCTGCGTCGGTGGAGACAACGTGAGGGGGTTCCGTTTGTAGACATCGGTTGACGGGGCCCCGGTTGATCCCTCATCCATCTTACATGTTTTGTTTTTTTTAATTAATAAAATGTTCAGTTATTTTGATTACAATAAAAGTTTTATTGCAAGAAATAATTATAATTCATATGAGATCGTAGGCTTCCGTGTCGAAGTCAATAGCCAAGTAACTACTATAAACCATATTTTTTCATGAATTACAAATATACATTCTAATACCTAAATACCTTCGCTCGTGCGAGTTTTATAAGACAAGGAAATAAGTCAGTAGCATATACTGGTGCTTTGAATTAAACATGCAGCAAATTAATAGTGTCGTTTAAATACAGATTCATTTAAATGCAGATTTAATAGTGTCAATTCGACTGGACAAAATGGTGATTTGGCGTAACTTGTTCATTCTGCTTTACAAGAGAACACTGTTTTGTTCAGGGCTAGATAAATGCATTATTTCTTTTACTTTATCATCCTTAATTTGTAAGAAGAGAAAGTATTGTAATCGTAGTCTGGACAACGGCAAATTTTTGACAGAAACTCTTATTGCCAGGTCATGGTATCTGGAAAGTGTTCCTAAATACAGTAAATAATCTCTTCTAATACGTTGTGTTGTCAGAATCTATGTTTTGTGAATCCTTGATTCCGAAAAATCGATTGACAGCAAAATATCTGTCTATCCGACAGCCTGTCCGTTCTGTCTCTGTCTGTCCGTCTGACCATCCGTCCTATCCTCCGCTTGTCTGTCCGTATGCCTGTCTGTGCGGCTGATCGTGTGTTGTTAACGAGGGAGCCTAAATCTTTCTGACGATTTTCTCCAAAATTGATATTTACCGATTGATCTGAACAAACTCAAGGTCCTGCAAGTTTAAAATGGATGTTTTGATTTTTGTGGGCACTTAACATGAAGCTACGACAACTATTTTTTTTTAAAGAGGCTCCAAATTTGTTGATTAATCATTTCCCTTAAAACTTCCCTTAAAATTTCGCTTAAAACATGGCGCAAGTCTGATCTTCTTTAATAACTGTAAATTTCCGAAAATTGCAAAAGTTTAAATTTTTCGGAGTTTTCCTACATCTTCCTTGTGTAGAGCATTTTACTCCTAAGAGAATGGCGCAGATCCCATTTTCGCGGAATTTTATATTTTCGAAAATTGCAACATTGCAATATTCATGATAGAGTTGTTTGCCTTAATTAGATCTGGTCTAAAGAATTAGATCTTTAAATATTGTGTTGTATAAATTTTTGAAAAAACAAGTAGTTTTCGCGTATTTTATTTTTGAATTAATGCAGTTTAAAAATACTTGTTTTTCTCAAAAAGTATCCAAGGTTTCAATTTTTTCCTTGAGAGTAAAGAACCCATAACAATGGCACAGGTCTTATTTTCGTTGAACTTCCTGAATTTACGAAAATTGAAAAAGTTAGAAAGAATGCAAGAAATGTAATATTTTGGGTTATTGCTTTGCATCAACTTTTACTTCTTACTCTTCTCAAAACTGGCAACACGATAATCATATTCAAGAAGTAATTGCACGACCAGAAATTGCAGTTCCTGAACGATTCGACAACAGTGACAAGTCTCTTTAACCAATACTTTTCGAGAATTGCTGCCTATCTCAGTAAGGGTCTTCAGCCACAAAATTCAGCATCAGAAGTTTCCCCAAAAATTTCAGGCACGAGGTTTGTTTCCGAAACTTCTTCATATGACATTCTCAAAATCTCGGTAGACTAAAAAATAAATATTTGGTCGGTTTAGATGAATTTACGGATTGTTTGTTAAAGGTTTACTCGCCCGCCATTATACACCCGTTACTCACATATTTAATGTATCCTTATACACAGGCATTTTTCCAGATATTTTTAAAACAGATAACATTAAGTCGCTTTTAAAAAAGGCAACAAAATGAAATTCAAAAATATCGGCCAATTTCTCTTTTGTCGTTTTCTTCATAAATATTAGACTTTTTTACGTACGAATGGAAACATCTCCTAGGAAACACGACGCGGTTTCAGATTGCCAACATGGGTTTCGAAAAACAAAATCTACGGAAACAGCCGTACTTTCTTTTCTTAAAGATATCGCCACATCCATGGATCAAAACGAAGCACTTATGGGTATATTTTTAGATCTTTAAAAAGCTTTTGACGTCACTGATCATAACATTTTACTTTCAAAATTACCTTCGTATGGAATTCATGGTGTTGCTCTAGATTGGTTATGTTCGTACCGTGAACAACGATCTCAGAGAGTATAAATATCTTACTGAAATAATGGAATGTACACACCTTTCTGATTCTTTGCCAATTGCATGTGGAATAAATTTTAGGTCCTATTCTCTTCCTACTATACGTAAACGATATGCCCTCGAAGATGAGAAACGGAAGAACAGTTCTCTTTGCGGATAATATGAATATTCTTTGCAATAAAGAAACTGTAAATAGTACAATATCAGATATTTCAAATTGGTTCCGTAATTACAAATTAATAGTTAATGAAAAGAAAACTGTTTCAATGAATTTTTCCATTTCAAATAAACAGCTCTGCCCTTCACTGAAAATGAACCGTGTGCAATTGACTCATGTTAAGGTAACAAAATTTTTAGGTCTTGCAATTCAGTCAAACCTTAAATGGAACGTCTATTTAAATGAATTGAACACTAAATTAAGTTTTTTATGCTACATGCAATCATGTGTATGTCTACATTTCGGATATACCAATCACACAAAATACTGCAATACCTATATTTGCTGATGATACAGTACGTTATTTCTCCAACAGCAATCTTGAATCCTCCATGAAAGATCTGCAACATCACCTTACATTATTAAGTGTGCCAAAAATTGGCACATTAAATTAAATCCAAATAAAAGTCAGGCAAAAATATTTACCTCCCGTAGACCAAACGTTTCCACAAATCCCACGTACCAATCACAAAATATCATGTGGCTCCCTCCCAATCAAACTGTCAATAGCACTAGCAACTAGTAGAGTCCATTAGTTATATCCAATTTTCAAAAAAATACCCCATCTACAACAACGTGTTGCTATTCACGTCTATAAAGCAGTGATACGACCCATACGTTCCTATGCTTCCCCAGTCTGGGCTGCCGCAACCAAATCAAACATCAACAAAATGCAAATTTTTTAAAATGGTTTCCTGCGCACCATCACAAAAGTTCCCTGGTACATCCCGAATGCGTAGTTATATAATGAACTTGCCATTACAACCATCCCCGTCCACTTCTACTCTTATCTGCAAAAGTATGTTCAAAAATACTAATCATCATTTCAGCTATTCATTTTTACATAGGTAAGCAAAATTCTCATCGCCAAAGATTAAAAAGAAAGTTACCAAGAGAATTTTTGACCCCCCCCCCATAGACATGAACTGATGAGTCTTTTCTCATTATAGCCTACGACCTATATAACCACTATATTGTAATATATCTAAACTAGAATTGTGTATATAGTGTATCAAATGATTTCTGTATCCATTTCGAATCAATGTATTTGTCTTATGCGGCTGCAGAGAGCCATTGGCCCAGCTGGAATAAATTAAAACCAAAAAAGAATTGAAAACATTGGCATTACTCATACATAAAAAAATAACTCATCATTTTATGTTATAGTTATTCCAAATTACTTTAATTATATCTTATTGTAGTTAAAAAATCAGAATTTTTATTTCCTTCCACTTTAAAACCAAAATTCACAGTGTTACACAGAATGCAAAGCGTGCTCTACGGTATGACTAATCCAGGCGCGCTTGAGGGACAACGTGATACAAATAATATAACAACATAATACAGATAAAGAAGGGAATTTGCAATGTGTGAATAAATTTGAAGAAAAGAGGCGAAGAGTGGTCCAATAATTATTATTTATTTGTTTGGTGAGATCTCGAACGAAGCACATCGACCATCGACCAGCGCACTCTGGTGAAGCGAACGAAATCTGGGACGTTAGTTTTTCGCGGTCAGTGAAGAGAGGTGGTGTCAGAGAGTGGCGCCCAAACAAGGGGCGTGTTTGGGCGCCACTCTCTGACATTGTATGAAATTATATTCCTCAATCATTCTTCATTCAAGTGAAATGTGACTAATAATCAGTGTTCATGTGGCATTTTAAAGCAAAACAATATTAAAGGAAATCCGCAACATCCAGTGCAACCTCCCACAATTTGTGCAGGTGCCATTTGGACAACTGCCATCATCGAAGCTTTCTAACGCTGTGGAATAGTAAACAGCTCAAGAAAAACCGATTGCCCTGCAGCAAAAAATGAACAAGCAAGACTCGGGGAACGTTGGGACCTCTAAAAGTGCGCAACAAGTCTGCGTACATCGGAACCAAATCAGGTACAATGCGCCCGGCAAGGGAACAAGTATTGCGTAGACAAATTCAAATTATGCTTATCCAACTAGTAAGCCGAAAACCGATATTAAAAGAAATTACTAGTGTTACAACAAGCACATACTTTCTAGCATTATTTGTAACGGCTACGGAATGATATTCTACTACATGAACCTGCCAGAGGGTTTTTCTAGCAAAATTGTTTTCTTCGCAGCGAGATTAGATCTCGCGACCTTCGAGTCAACCCTTTGGGGACGTTACCCCTACCCCAAGCAGTCGCTCGGGGATTCATGCCTTTCCCGACACTTTTACAACCTGAAGGTCTCTTCCATTATTTTTTATATATTCAAGATATGCAGCTATAGACAATGTAGTGCTACCAAATGACAATAACTTCAGACGTAAATAAACCGAAAAAATAGATAATTACTCCAACTACATAATTACTTAGTGCCCAAAGCAGAAAACTTTTCTCTTATCTTAAACGACATTAAAAAACAGCTAAGAGATTTTAACACGTTAATCGAGGGAAAATAAATGGAGAGAAATTAATGGAGAGAAAATAAATCTAACGTAAATTGAAAATTGCCACAATGTGTGTATGCGGTGGATCGAAAGGACGAAGCAAACTCTAGAAAAGTACACCTCAAATGTTTTGAACATTGCATTGAAAGAGTCCGTGCTCAAGTTCATAACAAAGCCATTCCAATGTTAACAAATGTCAAAGTATAGGGCAGGCATGTCAAGATGGCGATCATGGTAACAAGTTTACTAGAGCTCGCGGACTCTGCGTCCAGAGAAATTGGAACGAGATTTAAAAGTAAGGGTTGTATAAGATCTTCCTGAGTGGTGGTACACCACTGAATACCTCACCCATGACAGTCTTTGGGAGAAGACACTTGTCAATTATTGCCACTTTAGTTACATTAATTCCTTTTCTCTTTAAGGTAAAGAAATAAACCATTAAAATACAGTATCCATCCCATTTTAAATTCTCAATTGAGAGTAAAATTTAAAAAAAATCAAAAGAACTTTGATTATGTAATCCTGTTTACGTGAGAGTGATATAAAAATAGGAACTTTCTACGTTCAGGTACAAAGTTCAAATAGTCTTGTTTGTTAAACGCGGTGTCCGGCCGTAAGCATTTATGGAGACTTGTTAATTTATTTCACATTATTGCTGAGTTCAATAAACATCTGAATGATTTAATAACACAATACGACAACAATATAAGAATTCGCCATTCAAACATATTCCTGTCACGTAGCAAAGAGGTAGAATTTAGTAAGAAAATAAACACCACATAGTAATGAGTAGTAAGGAATATAAACGGAATAGAATTCTCGGTTATTTGATAGATAAATATCTGGCAAACCTTTTGCGTCACTATTCGCCGCTTCGCACCGCGTCAGCTGGCGTATGTACATCTCTTTCTGGACTTAAGGGAAATGAGTTAGGGGAAGTTTTCTTTCTTTTTCTCTTTCCCTCTTTTTTTCTCCTTTTTCTATTTTTCTCCTTTTTCCCTTTATTTCTCTTTTTTCTCCTTTTCTCTCTTTTTTCTCTTTTTCATTCTCTTTTACCTCTTTTTTCCTTTCCCCCCTCTTTTTCTTTCTTTCTCTCTTTTTCTTTCTTTCTTTCTCTCTTTTTTTCTTTTTCTTTCTTTCTCATCAAGAAACATATTTCTTCAAGAAACACCAACAAATTCTTCAAGAAACATATTTTTGCTTCCCGACACTTTGGAACAGCCAAAAAGCATTTATTACATTGGTGCCAAATACATTGTTATTTTGTGGAATCATCGTATAGATTTTCTTAAACACTGTGGTAGGAAGGGGGTATTGTCCGCTACATACAGTGTGTCTGGAGAAGAAACGTCAAAACTTCGAAAATAAACTCTGAAGTCAATTCTAAGCATATTTTGTCCATAAACTACGTGGATATTCCGACTGGATGAGCAGCAATAAGCACTCAAAAGTGGGTAAAATTTCTAAGCAAGAATCTGCACTACAGAATCATAAAAACACTCTAGAAACATGTAAATTGTTTATTATTTGCAAAAGAAATGAACATATTTGTTCAAAAAAGAAAAATTAACCCAGAAATAAAAAAACAACCTATATTACACAATTCAATTGCTTTTTTTATTTTTCCCTTAATTTTACTTTCTGAAAAAATATATTCATTTCTTTTGTAAATACTAAGAAATTTGTCTGTTTCTAGAGTGTTAGCTCTACGCATTTATAATACACATTTAATGCACTTTTATAATGCACTAGGCCTAAAATTCATTTTTTTCTAATCACCTTTTCAGAGCTTTTTGCGACTCACCCATTCGGAAAATCCACGTAGTTTATTAGACAAAATATGCTACGACAAAATATCCTTAGACAAAATCAGACAATTCTTAAGAGCTCATTTTCGAAGTTTCGGCGTTTCCTCTCTGGATACTTTGTTCATACCGATACCGATACCGTACAGATCCAGTGGATACATATAAAAAACGTAGCAAATAATGCATATTCTTCCCTTCCCTCAACTCCTCCCGCTATGAAATTCCACCTACGCCGGACAACAAACATCCCAAGTCGAATCAAATCTAAATTTCCTAAAAATATGCTTAAACCTCCCTAAACTAATAATATCTTCCCGTATCTCTGCAGAATCTATCCCGTTTCCCTTCCTATTGCTCGACAGGGCAATCCTAACAGTTTATGTAATAGAATATCAAGATTAAATTTCAGTAGCATCTAGAAGAAAACGAATGACTTGAGCTAGAGTTTTTAACCTGAATTTATCAAGGAATGCCCAAATACAAAACAAACAAACAAAAAATCAGCATGTAAATCTTTAATTCCTCCTTAAGACCTTAGGTCGAACGAGAAGAAATACGTAAAAAAAAATTCCTCCTCACTTCCGTTTCCTTAGGAATCAATGCCACTTATTCTCTCTTTGGCAGATATTTCTTCCGCATCTCTGCATGCGTAATCGCCAAAATCCTACATTACAATTTCATTTTCGGTTTCTTCGTCATTAAGTAAATTGAAAACAGCATGTACAACTGAATTGTCTAAATTATGGAAATTCTTTTGAGCCATTGTTGTCGAAAAGACAAACTGATAAAGAACTAGGAAAGATAGCTACCAGTTCAGTTGAATGTGTCAGTTTGTTACAAGAGGCTTCTAACTACGCACTTCAGCTTTCTGAATGAAAATGAGAAACACTGGCCTGTTGTAAGACAGGAGAGGAAGGACTGGAAAGGTCATGACGCACTAATGCGAAGTTAGAAATTGTCAGCAAATTATGCAATACGCACGTGTATCAATGTAATGCACATGCAACTAATGTAAGTTTAAGAGCATTCGTAAAAGAGCACGAACTGTTTCATATGGGTAGAGCTGTTCATACAGGTTTGAAATGCATACGGGTACCCGTTTCAATACCCGTGGGTTGGACTAGCGATTTTCTGGAACGGGTGGGAGTGGGGGACCGGGTTGACGGGCTTGCCTCAGACGTTAACGGAGTTAACTCAGAGGTTAAATGCCATCGCGGTGCTGAATAGCTCGATACAAGTACACAATGCATTAACCATAAAACTACCAAAAGGAACTTCAGTGGCCCACCGATGTTTGTATTATATTGTCTTTAATGGTAAGTCCTTCACTTTCTTCCTGTATACATTTCCCAGACACTGCATCGACGGTATGTCGTGAGTTGCCTCCTCACTGCAAACATGACAATACCTGCTTTCCCCATTTTTCTCTGCAGGATTTCCTCCAGTATTTATATATTTGGTTGGGTTTTCTTCATGGAAACGTGTTTCTTCTTGTCATGATCATCTTTATTCTTTTTCTTGGCAGGCTCAGCCACTTTATTATTTTGCCTGAAAGTTGATAGATTGTTTTGAATGTCGTCTGATGTATGAGTTGAAAATAATTCTATTTTTAAAACAATTGCTCGAGAGTTTATTCCTGGAGAATGAAGTTAATATGGCTATAAGTGCTGGTAATATGCCCATCACCCTTGGCCATATTGACGGCAAAAACATGTTACAAAATTTCTCTCATGTTGGTAAAATCTTGAGCAAATTTAAATGATTAGATTGCTCATTAAATGCGCTAAACATTGATGTATATTGCCAAAATACTATATCATTCTTTAAGTGTAACTAATAATAAAATTACATGGAAAGAAGTGACAAGGACAGAGTGCCTTTAGCACGTTGGCAATGTAGGCTCTAAGAGTGCGAACGCGCGAATCAACAACCGTGGTAGGAGGTTAACGCACTTCTTACGCTCTCCCAGACAGCGTGCTAGTATAATCTATGGTAAACATAGATAGCAGATAAACATAGCCTTTACTTGGATAAATTACCTGTACAGGTCATATTTGCATCACTTACCTTAGTATATTATTATTTATATCAATGTATTAATTTAGCAAATCGTCAAAAATATAAATAAAATCAAGTTTAAGCGGTGGGCTCCGGAGGCCCCCCTTTGATTAAACACATACCATGGATATTACTAAGATTAAGATGAGCCATTCACCTCATCAAGTATTCTACAGCATTCCCATTCCATACAATGAAAACCAAATGAGGTGAATCAGGGTATCAATTAGTGTCACTGCAGAGCCTTTGATCGTGAGTCCCGATGGTGGAAAGATTTTCGACCATAGCTAGATAGCTAGGTTGAATTCAACCGCTGTCTGGAGGATAATGTCTTATTCTAGCTGCTGGCTGCTCTGATTGTTAGTTTTCCGTGCTTTTATTTATCAATACCAAGCGTATGTCGTAGCAGTATCGTAACAAACTAGTATCTCACCATTCAGCCAAGTGCCTCAGACTGAGAGGTCCTGAGGGCTCGAGTCCTGACGATGTGGCAGGATTTTCAATACTAGCTCGTCAGCTAGGTATAGTTCAGCCGCTGTCTGGAAGAGAATACTAACGGCCGGCTTCTTTTTTCAGCAGTTTTCCGTGGTTTCTCCGATCAACACCTGGCGAAT